TTGTGTCCTCTTTCAATTTTGCCTATGAAGTTCTGTGCTTTTTCCTTGAGATACTGCAAGCACTTTTTCCACAGACTGTCATGCATGGAAAAACAAGTGTCAGCAAAACAGGATTACTCCTGATCTTACTATTGGTCAACCCTTGCTTTTGTCAAATCTAATCGAGTTTTGCTACCTTGTCATCTCTCGTTTGAATTACTGTATCTAGCTCTTCATTTGTTATAAGCAGCTAATGGGAAAAACAAAAATCTCAGAAACTTTTCAGACCTTCAGCTCAGCAATCAAGAGAGCCAAATGGCTGGTAGCCATTGGCACTGTGAAGCTTGTTCACAATTGAACAAGCGACAGTTCCAAGAAACTAAGCCTGTGTTCAAAGACAAAGGATCCAACAAAATGACTGCTTTTTGCCTATAATCTTGGCCTTGGGACTCTTACAATACACATCAAAACTTCCAAATCCCACCCCTTTAATATTTTTCCTTTTGGGGTTTTGGAGCCAGCTGAAATGTCTGCTTGCATAAATAAAGCGACATTATTGTTTAGAGAGATAAGGCAGTATGAACTGGAAAAAGCAAGCTAGGTAAACATAAGAGCAGTTGTTTGGGGTCATAATCTGAATTCACCCAACTCAGTATCTAGACTCCAAAAGTGAACTGCAGAAGGAAACAATAGCTCATTTGGAGATACCAAGCATATCCTAATGAGTAGTATAATTTTATGGGAAAGGACTCAATGTGTCTCCTTTTAAACTATCTCTGGTTTCAGATGTTGATCATAAACTCCCAGCAAAAATATTTATGGCCAGCATTCTACTGTCAATTGATCATTGGTAATCTAGATTTGATTTGGACTAGGTTTGAATCAGAGATCCAATACTGACACTAAATCCAAACATTTTAAAACTCCTCATATCTCAATCCATTCATAGAGCAATCCAGGCCAAAGATACCACTATTACAGAACTGCATCACATGAAAGTATTGGTTGGAGATGAACCCTCCCTTGAAATCCACTAAGAATAAATGTAAGAAAACCTATTTAATCTATTAATATCTTCCTGATATAAGCAACTATTTTAAATAAACAAAATATTCACATGATAATTATGGAATAAATAAGAAACCTTAAAACGTTGTGAAATTTGGGCAATTTAAACATTTTGTTTACAATTCTAGGATTTAATAGGCCTAATTGGTGACTCCTGTGTTATACTATATATATATATATATATATATTCAGTAATCCTTCCAATTGTCTTTTAATATTTGAAATAATATTTGCAACCGTTTAGCCAAACCAAAATCAGAAAGCATGACTTCAACTTTTGCAAAGTACAGTATAATTTGATGTCTAAACTGACAAGTCATATTTTTGTTTTTTATATTGTTCCGATTTAGTTATTTATTATTACTATTTTGTTTTGTTTCTATTTGATATTGTATGTTGTCAAGAGTCTTTGGAGATTGGGTTTAAGCATTGCAAAACACATTCATTCATACACTTACCTGCAAGAAAGATAATTTTGAATTTAAGATGATACCCTTCTTCTCAGAGTAAAAGGGGGGGAAATCACAAAAACTGCACCACCACCCCAAAAATGTGTCCATGTGATGTATGTTCATCACATGGACACATTTTTGGGGTGGTGGGGCAGTTTTTGTGCAGAAAAGGTTGGCCACAAAGAAGCATACTCACTGAATAATCAGAAATGGCTTAGGAAAGAGTAGAAAACGAAAGATGAGAAAACAAAACTGAGTAGAGAAGAGGCAACTGGAGCGGTAAGGAAAATAAAGAGAGAAAGAGAAGGCCAGTCAACAGTTATCCAAAGTTCATAACCCTAAAGTTTCCCAACCCTGCCCCATACAATCTTCTGTTAAATAGGCTCTGACAGTGATGGCGAACCTTTTTGAGACTGAATGCCCAAACTGCAACCCAAAACCCACTTATGCATCGTCGAGTGCCGGGTGGGTGTGGCCCATTGGCTGGGTGTGGCCAATTGGGTGGGCAGACTGGGTGGGACTAAAAAGTTCAATCAATCAATTCCAACTTTGCAAGAACTTTTTTTTCCCGCGAGAAGTTAAAATTGACTGATTGGACCTTTTTTTTTTTTGCACATGGCGGCAGAGGCCTAAAGCAAAAAGGTTTTATAAAACCCAGCTGAAGGCCTAGGATTTCTGCGACGACATGGGTGCCCACAGAGAGGGCTCTGAGTGCCGCCTCTGGCACCCGTGCCATAGGTTCGCCACCACTGGGCTATGATGCTTGCAACCATTTTTAGTTCCATCTATTTCAATAGTGAATTTTTTTAAGTACACCCTGCCAGTTCATAATTTTTGAGTAAAGAAATATGATCGCTATAGGCACAGGTTTATCACTTCACATCCTTAATAAGGTAGAAATTTATCTCTAGGAATTGTCCTTTATAAAGGTAGGACAATAGTCATTATCATCTAAGGCTGTCTTTTACAGAAAAATTGGGAAACTGACTCAGCAGTTTTGATGGAAGCAAAAAATAGCATAGCATTCAGGAAGTCCTATCATCCTAACAAGAAGCTGAAAAAAGAGAAGAGATTAGTCAGCTCATGCCC